CAAGAACGTTCACGGTTTTACCAAGACAAGCTGAGCAGATGGCAGCAGGCTGCTGTAGCACCTGCCCCTCTTCATCCCACCCCTAACTGGCAGGGGTGCTTGCTCACCTAGCAGCGGCAGGAACGGCACAGTCCTTAAGATCCGTACCATCTCCTTGACCTTGGGCTCTTCACTGACCAGCAGTATGTTGTGCCCCACAAAAAGGGGCAGCAGATTTTGGTACTTGGAATCCTCCAGGAAGGGCTTCAGGACCTGGGACAGCAGGAAAAAATGACATCGGGAACAAGTGGGAGGAAGAGCCACCTCGTGGGTCATGGGCCACATTAGGCTGAGGGTGCAACCCAAGGGTCTTCTCATCCCCTAATCATAGCTTAGACACCAGATTAGACGGTGACTCATGGAGAGGAGGAATAAGAAGTATCATCACTGGGGAGCAGATGGTGAGGTCTGAGTCTGGTGGGGGTTGGGGGAATATGGGCAACCCATGCCAAGGGGCCTGCTCCCTACCTGGTTGGGGAAGACCTTCATCAGGATCTTGTGTTTCCGCAGCTGGTGTCGCATAAGAAGCTTGTCCTCTGCGCTCAGAGCTATGTTCTGGCAGACGGCTATCATTCGGTTGTCCTGGAAGACTGCTGCTATCTCCCGGCGGAGAAGCCTGATGAGGCCTGTCTCCTGAAGTTGGAAAGCAATGACCAAGGAAATATCAGCTGACTTCTCTTGGCAACCTTGCTCCTTCTGTGGTAGGTTCTAGGGCTTCCAGTGATGCCCAAATGTGCAAAAGATCGGGGAACAAGTAGGATAATTGGGCCCCTGACTCTCAGGGACATGTAACATCTCCCACTGCTCTAACCTTTTCACTTTCATTAGATAATCGCAGTCTTTAGCAGTGTTTTTCAAACCTGAAAATGCTCAGTTCCACTCCCCCGAAAACAGGTCTGCAGTCTGCCCCAGTCAACCGTGCTTGACAATAATATTGTTCAAATTACTTCAACTATCAATCTGACACTATACTCATGTTGAATCATTTTGCCAATCATAAATATAACTCTTTTGCAGTGTTAGTTTAAAATTGAGAAATTTGGCTGGGTGCGGTGGCTCATGCCTGTAATCTCAGCACTTTGGGAGGCCAAGGTGGGCGGATTGCTTGAGGTCAGGAGTTCGAGACCAGCCTGGCCAACAGAGCAAAACCCCGTCTCTACTAAAAATACAAAAAATTAGCTGGGCATGGTGGCATGCGCCTATAATCCCAGTTACTCAGGAGGCTGAGGCAGGAGAATCACTTGAACCCAGGAGGCAGAGGTTGCGATGAGCCAAGAATGTCCCACTGCACTCCAGCCTGGGCGACAGAATGAGACTCTATCTCACACACACACACAAAAAAAAGATGGCCGGGCGGGGTGACTCACGCCTGTGATCCCAGCACTTTGGGAGGCCGAGGCAGGCAGATCACGAGGTCAGGAGATCAAAACCATCCTGGCTAACATGGTGAAACCCCGTCTCTACTAAAAATGCAAAAATTAGCCAGGTGTGGCTAATTTATTTATCATTACAGGTGCGCACCTGTAATCCCAGCTACTCAGGAGGCTGAGGCAGGAGAATCACTTGAACCCGGGAGGCAGAGGTTGCAGTGAGCCGAGATCGCGCCATTGCACTCCAGCTTGGGCAACAAGAGCGATACTCTGTCTCAAAAAAAAAAGATTGGAGAGATACTCTCCCCAACCCCACTGGCTCAGGTAGCTCTCACACACATTTTTGGAGACAAGAAGGAAATTCAGCAGGCCCGTCCAATCCAGAGCCCAAAAGCCAATATAGAATCAAGTGCAGATTTCATCTTAAAGTATCTGGATCAGGCAGTCAAAGTGAAATAATTACGTGAGTGACAATGGCTGAGTGTCCTACTTCACTATGGCCAGAGACAAGATTACTTTAATCCACCATCCCACCACCAAGTGACATGTATCCAAACTCCTCCTTACCTCCTGTGGGGGGCTGGGAGGAGATGGCAGGCATGCTGGGTGGATGGCTGGTTTTGGGGGGATATATTCAGTCACAGCCATCAGCTTCTGCCGCTGAAAGTGCATCACACGACGGTGGCGGGTAACAGCCTTGGAGCCATAGCGGACAGTCTGGAGGGTAGGCAGCCGGCCTGTGAGGGGATACAGCAACATGGTTAGATGCAACCTCTTGGAGGCCCTAGTTTATCCCAGATGGAGAAAAAACACACCCTCTAGCAGAGAAAAGCACAGCTCACAGAGCTAGACTCAGCACAAGAGTGGGACAAGGAATTGTCTACCCCAAATTCTGAATTTCCAAAGCTTCTCTTCTCTTTCAATAAGTGACCTGAGGTCAATTACTTAATCTCTTGAGGTTCCCATTTCTCCAGCTCTTCTTAATGTGCAGAAATGCGAGAAAAAAATGAGAACAAAGGAGAAAATATTTTGAACACATTAAGAAAAGGGGAGGCCGGGCGTGGTGGCTGACACCTGTAATCCCAGCACTTTGGGAGGCCGAGGCGGGCGAGATCACTGGAGGTCAGGAGTTTGAGACCAGCCTGGCCAACATGGTGAAACCCCATCTCTACTAAAAATACAAAAATTAGCGGGGCATGGTGGTGCATACCTGTAATCCTAGCTACTTGAGAGGCTGAGGCAGGAGAATCGCTTGAACCCAGGAGGCAGAGGTTGCAGTGAGCCGAGATCATGCCACTGCACTCCAGCCTGGGCACAGAGTGAGACTCCGTCTCGGACAAAAAAAGAAAAAGAAAAAGAAAAAGGGGATAAGGTTGAATAAACTTTCTTAAAATGGTCAAATAATAAATATTTTAAGTTTGGGGCCCATGTACTCTGTCTCTAACACTCAACTCTGCCAAAAGCAGTCACAGACAATATGTAAACAGACAGCAGAAGCTATGTACCAACAGAATTTTATAAAACACAGTGACTGGCCCTGCCATAATATGCCAACCCCTGGTCTAATCTATTGGTTCTCAAGGTATGCCCCACCTGTACCCCAACCAGCAACATCAGCATCATTTGAGAACTTGTTAGAAACAGAAATTTTGCTGGGTGTGGTGGCTCACGCCTGTAATCCCAACACTTTGGGAGGCCAAGGTGGGCAGCTCACTTGAGGTCAGGAATTCAAGACCAACCTGGCCAACATGGTGAAACTCTGTCTCTAACTAAACTACAAAAATTAGCCAGGTGTGGTGGCACACACCTGTAGTCCCAGCTACTCAGGTGGCTGAGCCATGAGAATTGCTTGAACCCAAGAGGCAGAGATTGCAGTGAGCCGAGATTGTGCCACTGCACTCCGGCCTGGGCGACAGAGGAAGACTGTCTCAAAAAGAAAAAGAAAAAGAAATACAAATTCTCATGCCCTGCCTAGACCTACTGAATCAGCAACTCTGGGATGGAGCCTAGCAAATAGTGTTTTTTGTTTGTTTTGTTTTGTAGAAACTAGGTTTCACTATGTTACCAAGGCTGGTCACAAATAGTGTTTTAACAAGTCCTCCTGGTGATGCTGACGCATACTAAAGTTTGAAAACCACTGCTCTAACCACTGTTCTGACATCCTCTCCTATGATTTGAAGAGCAGAAAAAAATGTTACACCATTCTCACAGCTCTCAGACAAGTTTCTCTTTCCTCCTCTCTTCCTGTTTACAGGTAATGCTACAGAGCACCCCACAGAAAACAAGTGAGGCACTCAAAAGCCCTGAGCCAAAGTGACCCTTTCATCCTCAACACAAGGGCCAAGACTAGAACTTCCCACTTTCAGCCATTCCCAAGACTGGGATGTGACCTCAGAAAAGGGTCCAGATAGAAGGTGGCTCTAACAGTCAGAGAGTATGGATATTTGCTGGGGTAAGAGGTCTTATTGCCCAGCAGCCACAAAACCTAACTGTTAAGACTGCAGGCAGGCTTTGGAATCAAATGAAACTGGATTTTTTTCTTTTTCTTTTTTTTGAGATGGAGTATCGCTCTGTAGCCCAGACTGGAGTGCAGCGACGGGCAATCTCAGCTCACTGCAACCTCTGCCTCCCGGTGTAAGCGATTCTCATGCCTCAGCCTCCTGAGTAGCTGGGACTACAGGCACGTGCCACCACGCCCGGCTCATTTTTGTGTTTTTAGTAGAGTTGGGGTTTCGCCATGTTGGCCAGGCTGTTCTCAAACTCTTGACCTCAGGTGATCCCTCCGCCTCAACCTCCCAAAGTGCTGGGATTACAGGCGTGAGCCACCGCGCCAAGCCGAAACTGGATTTTAATCTCTCTTCCGCCAATTACTAGCTGTGACCTTGGCCACCCAACTGGTCTGAACTTCAGTTGCCGCGTCTGTAAAGAGGAGATGCGAATGTCTTTCTCACAGGGTGCTTCAGATTTAAATGATTTAAAAGATTTAAATGAGCTAACACATATAAAAATAGTTATCACAGTGCCTGGTCTATATTGAGTGCTCAAATCCATTCATTAAACAAATATTTACTGCACCCTTACTAACATCAAGCACCATGCCACCTGCTGGCTATGCTGAATTAACATGGTTCTGCCCTTGCGGAGTTTAAGTTTAAACAAGCAACTGTTTAGTTTAAATGCAAAATTACAGATTGCGATGGGGCTAAGGAGTCAAGGGTAGACCTGAGGTGACATTTAGGCTGAGACATTAAGATGCAGACATAATGCAAAGGTCTGGGCGAGGAGTGGTCCAGGCAAAATAAACGCTGGAGACAGGCAACAGCTGGACGCTGTTGCTGTGATTACCAGAGTCTGGAATCACAAGGAGCTGCACGGGGCCAGCGATCTAGCTGGGGTCAGAGATTATGAGAAGAATCAGTAGTACAGGAGGGCAGATGAGGACTAGAGAGCGGCGGCAAGACACGCCGTGAGGACCTGGGCCACTCCTTACCCGCCTGGGGCAGGAAACCCCCACGCAGCAACCCAGCCACGGCCGCAGCCATCTCCACCGGAAGAATGGACGGAAGCCGAATGGTGACGGAAAGAGCTAAGGATTGTGGGGTAGCGAACCCCGGGGCCGGAAGCAGTGGGCGTACCCGTCAGCTGTAGCTGTAACACGCATGCGCTAAGCCGGGCCAACGGATCCTGTCTTCACCTCCCCGCTCGGCGTCCAGTCTCTTAGCAACGACTCCGGCTTCCTAGGAACTGCTCCTTTCTCAACCATTCCTGCCCACTGCGCCCCAGCTTGCTGCCAGCAAAGCCCCTCCACACCCCTCAAACTCCAGACCCTTCACATCAATTTACTGTTGTCTTCGACCTCACCCCAGCAATTTTCTCTGAATCAACCCCTTTTCCTCCTCTCCCAAGTCTCTGAGTTTCTCTCTCCTCCTGCCATCCTGGTTTCTGCCATCCTTAGGGGCCGCCCAGGCTGCTAGGCTCCTTTTCGTTCCTCTCCCCGCTCAGACCAGCAGTCTTTTATTTTAGATCATGTCTGCAGGTGAGTAGGGAGGGGGGACGGTGGGTAGAGCAGTTGGAAAACAGCGGGGTAAGTCCTCCAAGGATGAGGAAATGTGACAGTTGGACTCATCTTTTCACAGCGAAGTCAGCCCAGGGTCCAGAGGAAGGGGGCGTCTGCATCACTGAAGCCCTTATCACTAAGCGGAATTTGACTTTCCCTGAGGATGAGGAACTGTCAGAAAAGATGTGAGTGCATGGGGGAGAAAAAGGGTGCTAGAAGGCTGAAACACTCAGGATGACCAGGCCCCTGAGCTGTACTGATTTGTCAACTGATCTTTGTCTCTCTCCTTATTAGTACACACATCCAATCAGTGGTAATGCCCAGTTGATTTTCCCTTCTTAAAAATAATTCCGGCCGGGCGCGGTGGCTCAAGCCTGTAATCCCAGCACTTTGGGAGGCCGAGACGGGCGGATCATGAGGTCAGGAGATCGAGACCATCCTGGCTAACACGGTGAAACCCCGTCTCTACTAAAAAATACAAAAAACTAGCCGGGCGAAGTGGCGGGTGCCTGTAGTCCCAGCTACTGGGGCGGCTGAGGCAGGAGAATGGCGTGAACCCGAGAGGAGGAGCTTGCAGTGAGCTGAGATCCGGCCACTGCACTCCAGCCTGGGTGACAGAACAAGACTTCGTCTCAAAAAAAAAAAATAATAATAATAATAATAATAATTCCATTTCTTTTTCACCATCCTCACTCAACTGTCTTAGATAAGTCCATATTAACCCTCTCCTATACTCCCAGCGCTTTGGGAGACTGACGCAGGAGGATCGCTTGAGCCCAGGAGTTTGAGACCAGCCTGGGCAATACAGTGAGAATCTTATCTCTAAAAATAAAAATAAATTAGCTGAGTATGGTGGTGCACACACACCTGTAGTCCTAGGTACTTGGGAGGTTGAGGCAGGAGGATCACTTGAGCCCAGGTACCTGTGGCTACAGTAAGCTATGATCATGCCATTGCATGCCAGCCTGGGCAACAGGGTGAGACCCTATTTCTAAAACAAACACAAAGTATTTTTAATTACTTTTTTAGAGATGGGGTCTTGCTCTGTTGGCCAGACTGGTCTTGAACTCCTCAAACAATCCTCCTACTTCAGCCTCCTGAGTAGCCAAAGTGATCCTTTCAAATAACAAATCTAATCAGGCACTCACTGACAGAAACTTTCTTGGCTGTTACCTCCCAAATAAAATCCCACTGCCTAAGCTTAAGTTGTCTTCTGCTTTTCAGCCTTCTTTCTGGCCACTTTCCACAAGTGTACAATTTCCCACACTGTACTACTAGTAGTACAGTGTACTAGTAGTAGTAGTACCTTACTACTCAGAGTATGTGTAGGTGGGAGAGGGTGCAGGGGTAGGGCAGCAGCACTGGCATCACAGGGGGCTTGTTAGAAGTGGAGCATCTCAGCCCCTCCACCCGATCTACTGAATTAGAGTCTGCATGGGCATATTGGAGTTTCGGAAGGGCTGTGTTAGCACATACTATTCCTTCTGCTTGAAATGCCTTCTCACCATATCCCCCTATCTTCATGGCTAATGCCTACTCATCTGTCACCTCCTCTAGGAAGCATTCCCTGATTCCTCCTACTCTGAACTTAGTGCACAGACTATGTACTCCCTTTGTCCCCTGTACTTGCTTCTGTTATCCACTTGTCATAGATGTTTGGCCTTCTTCTTTCTTTCTTCTTCTTCCTCTTCTTTATTCTTTCTCCTTCTTTCCCTTCTTCCTCCTCCTTCTCCTCCTTCTTCTTCTTTTCCCCTGTACTTGCCTCTGTTATCCACTTGTCATAGATGTTTTGCCTCCTTCCTCTTTTTTTTTTGAGATGGAGTCTCACTCCGTTGCGCAGGCTGGAGCGGTGGCACGATCTCGGCTCACTGCAACGACTGCCTCCTGGGTTGAAGCAATTCTCCAGCCTCAGCCTCCTGAGTAGCTGGGACTACATGTGTCCGCCACCACACCCAGCTAATTTTTTTTGTATTTTTAGTAGAGATGGGGTTTCACCATGTTAGCCAGGCTGGTCTTGAACTCCTGACCTCAGGCAATCTGCCGGCCTCAGCCTCCCAAAGTGCTGGGATTATAGGCGTGAGCTACCTCACCCAGCCTCTTTTTTTTTTTTTTTTCTTTTAAATGACATAAGGTCTTGCTCTGTCACCCAGGCTGAAGTGCAGTAGCATAATCGTGGCACATTACAGCCTCGACCTCCTGGGCTAAAGCAATCCTCCTGCCTCGGCCTCCCAAAGTGCTAGGAGTACAGGGTGAGCCACCAAGGCCAGCCTGCCCTGCTTCTTTAATAGTGGTGGGCAGAGACTCTGTCATTTCTCTCTAGTAGGCACTCAGCAAATGTTGTGGAATGAATGAATGGGTGGATGAAACAAGTGCTTTTTCCTCCATGAACCACTCAAAAGGAAGGTGAGGAAGGATCTTTCTGCAATGTCTCATCTCTGTCCTACCCCTGCCTCCACCATCCAAGCTGGCCAGAGGAAGGCTTCTCTTGCTGCTGAATCTCTCCAGGAACCATAAGCTGCCATGCTCCAATTTCCCAGAGGGTCCTTACTCCTCTCTCTCACCCTTCCCAGTGCTAATGATAAAGATACAAGTCTGCAAGTCAAGACAGTTTCATGATCTAGACACCACCTCAAGATGTCAAGAAGATGTTTCTCACATTTGATTAAAATCACTCAGCCAACTACCCCTCCTTGAAACCCCTTCCCTCCTCCCTCTCTCCCATCCTCCCTGCTAACAGACCACATGAGTGGTGTTCTAACACCACCCTTACTGACTCTTCTCCCAGGTTTCACACTCTTGATGAACTGCAGACTGTCCGCCTGGACCGGGAGGGGATTACTACTATCAGGAACTTAGAGGGCCTCAAGAATCTTCACAGCCTCTATCTGCAAGGGGTAACTTCTTTCTCCATCCTTCCCCTCCCCTTGACCCCTGTGGACCTAATCTGTCTCATCTGAAAGGAGTCAACCAGGTCATTTTGCCCATTCCCTGGTGTTCAGGCAGGCAGACCTTCAGTTAAACCATTCCCAGATGAATGACGTAGGGTCCTGAACTGAAAGACTAATTCCCCTAGAATAGATCCTGAACATGACCTGTGCTCCCTCCACTGTTCTTTAGGCACTTCTCTTGATCTAGAAGTTCTTCTTGGCATTTACTCTAAATCTTTCACGTTAAATAGCTCCAGCCTATTTCCTGTTTTGAAGAGGAAGAGGAAACTATGAAGATTCCTCTACATCAATCAGATCCTACTTGAAGGCTGTTTGGTGGTGGTGGTGGTTGGTTGATCTTCAGCCCTCCCCTGGTTGAATATTCCCAGCTCGCTTCGACTTTCCCCATAGAAACTTTTCCCATCAAGTTCATGTATGCTTATTGTTCTCCCTGTGTATGCAAGCCACCACCAAGGCCCTTTCCATTTTCCTGGTGGCGGCTTGGTTTCCTTTTCTGATTCCCAGGTCACTCTTTGGTTGTGGAATCAGAAGAGTATACTTAGTCAGGTTTAGATACCCCAAGTTTACACCCCTAACCATCCACCTGGAGAAAGAAAATCATCTTTCTTAAGGTAGTGGCAACCTGTTCAAGGAGTGGGGTTATCATTCCCAAAGTGCCAGATCTCCAGCTGCAGGAGTAGACATGGTCTTGGGACTTTGTCCCTGTAAAGGGCCTCCCACCCATCTGATCTCAGCTTGGTTTCCCCACTTCGGTTTCTTCTTGCAGAATAAGATCCAGCAAATTGAGAACCTGGCTTGCGTCCCCTCCTTGCGGTATGTGGTGCCAGGGCTCAGGCAGGGGAAGAGGGATCGGGGGAACCTAAACACACCCCAAAGAACTGGTTCAGATTTCTCCAAGCCTGGGTCCTTTTCAGCCAAGGACCAGCAAGCCTAGCTCTACTCCCTCACCCCAGAAGGCCATGTGTCCCCACGGGTCATCAGCTGCCTAGCCCAGGGGCCCCAGTGTCAAGTGCCGTCCTCTTTTCCTCCAGCTGTTCCATGATTCAGCTCTGCCTCTCTACCCCTTCCTTCCCCTACAGCTTCCTGTCTCTAGCAGGAAACCAAATCAGGCAGGTGGAAAACCTCCTCGACCTCCCATGCCTCCAGTTTCTGGACCTTTCTGAGAACCTGATAGAAACGTTGAAGCTGGGTAGGAACCCACTTGCCCTGGCTCACCAAACACATCCCCTGTGGGGCCTGCCCTCCCCTCTGCACCCAGCTGCCTGTGCTTGCATTAGCCACACCCCTGCAGGTCCACACCTCATCCTCAGGGAGTTCAAGGGGTTGTGCCTAGAGGTAGTGGCTTTGGACGAGAAAGTGGGTGTGAGAACCCCATTCCCATCGCTTCATGGCCTTTTGGCTAAGATCAAGTGAGAACCCCATTTCCTCTCTCTTTGCTGTGTGCAGATGAGTTCCCCCAGAGCCTTCTCATCCTCAACCTGTCTGGCAATAGCTGCACCAACCAGGATGGCTACCGGTAAGGAGGGGAGGGTGGGAAGAAAGGTCTAGTTGAGCTCCACCTGCTAACTCAGCCCAGGCCCCTCTCAGCCTGCAATCCTGGGGTTACTATCTATGGCACCTTCTCCCCAACCTCCTACCTAACTCAGGAGCCACCACCCCTCCAGGTGTGGGTGCTGTGGTGCATATCTTTGCATCCTCCACGCCAGGGTGCCCTCCTAGGTAACCTCTGCTCCTGCTCTGCAGTGAGCTGGTGATAGAAGCCCTGCCACTTCTCTTGGACCTGGATGGGCAGCCTGTGATGGAGCGCTGGATTTCGGACGAGGAGGATGAAGCTTCAAGCGAGGAGGAGTTCCCAGAGCTGAGTGGCCCATTCTGCTCCGAACGAGGTGACCCTGCTTTCTAAGGCTTTCAGCTTCCCCAGAGCCCACCTCTTCCCTGTGGGACACGAGGGAAGCTAAGATGGCAGTGGCGTCTGGGGAGGGGAGCCCCAAGTTCAGATCAACATCTGGGCCAGAGTAAGGTGTCAGTCCGGGACCCCAGCCTCAGGCTGCTTCCCAAGAGGGATGGCAGGGGCCAGCCAGAGACTTCCCTGAGCTCAGGGACCCTCCTGCTGAGCCCAGAGCTCCACCCACCCTGCACCCTCCACCCCCTGGCCCCTCATAGGCTTCCTCAAGGAGCTGGAGCAGGAGCTGAGCAGGCACAGGGAGCACCGGCAACAGGCGGCCCTGACACAGCACCTGCTGAGGATGGAGATGCAGCCCACCCTCGCCAACCTGCCCTTGCTGCCTGGGGTGCCCATGGCTGGGGACAGCAGCCCTTCTGCCACTCCTGGGCAAGGGGAGGAGACAGTCCCTGAGGCCGTCTCCTCACCCCAGGCCTCCTCTCCCACCAAGAAACCATGCAGTCTGATTCCCAGGGGCCACCAAAACTCTCTATGGGGAAGGAAGGGGGTCCGAGCAGCCACTGCCCCCAAGGCCTCTGTGGCTGAGGCCCCCAGCACAACCAAAACTATGGCCAAGAGAAGCAAGAAATGATTCTCTGTCAACCTTTCTCTACGAGTGGAGTGGAGTGGGGCCTGCCCCACTTCTCAGACCAATGACCTGTGTCAGGAGTTCATCCCCAGTAAAGTGTCTCTAGGCCCTGAATATGCTTTTCGTGTTACTTGGGGGTATCTCAGGGGAAGCAACCAGTGAAAGCTCCAGGAAACAAAATACAGAGCACAGTGAGCCACCTGATTCTAAAGAGCAAGTTTGGAATCTTTCGGGAGCTACCCACAGGGCAGGCATGCCTCAGGCCCCCCGCTGGCTTCCTGGCTCCCACATGGGCAAGAAGCAGGTACCACCTCACAGAGGATGCCATCTCACTGCCACCCCTAGGGAGTGCCCTTCCCCAGTCCAAGCCAAGGACCAAGGAGCTGTGGTCCTAGTCGTCCCCAACAGCAGCCTGCTCCTGTCCCCTCCCTGTCCTCCTGCCTAGTCCCCATCACTCAACCACTCAGGAATGAGTACACAACCACAGGCCCCACAGCTGCCTTTGGGCCTCACTTGGCTCTCCCACCCCCACTGAACCTGGGATAAAGTTCACTGAAGAGAAAATAAAGCACATTTATTAAGGCAAAGGCCAAGCTGGCCGCTCAGAACATGGCCAAGGAGCATGAAGGGATTGCTCCAACTTCACCACCACTCAGGGCAGTTGGTCCGAGGGGTTCTGGGCCCACCCCAGGCCAGCAGAAGCTATGAAGCTTATGCATAAGCCTGGCTCTCCCTCTTCACGAAGGCCTGGAAGAGGCTGCCCAGCTCCTGGAGGGATGGGGCCCACTCACTGGTCAGCAGCCCCTGTGTGGCCTTGAGGCCTTCCTGCTCCAGATCCTGCTGTTTCTGCTGGAGCTGCTGCCCTCGATCCTGCCCCAAGGGAAAGCTGAGATGAGTCTGTCCAGGACAGGCTTCCCGCCAGGTGAAGGGGGGACTGTGTACCACCTCACACAAGCAGGAGAAAGGAGAGACCCCCCCAACATTCCCCAAAGGCAGTTGCTGGCTTTGAAGGGAGGAACTCCTCTCCCCAGCTCTGGAATCTCTTCCACTCCCAGTTTCCCTCATATTTCCGGAGTTTCACTGGGAGTGGGAGGTCTGTCATCACCTCAGGGTAGCCCCTACTCCCTGGGGGATACCTGATCACTCTCCATCAGCCCCAGGGCTGCCTGGTGTCCACGATAGAGGGTGTGCCGGCGATCTACCCGAGTCTGGAATCGGGGCAGGGTCCGAACAGGGTCCTGTGCTCCAAAAGTGGGGGACAGCACCTGGGGGGCCTGGGCCACCCCCACCCCAAAGATGAAAGGTTTGAACACAGACCTAGAAGGGCACAGATGGAAGGACGGAGATATATCATATCCTGTCTTCTCCCCAGCCTTCCCCATCCTCGTTCTTCCCACCTGGATGGGTCTGGCGTGGCAGTAAGAAAGTGCACGCAGGGCTGTGTGGGATCCTGGGGCAGGACAGACACCATGCTGGCCGTGGTGCGAAAGCCTCCCGAGTCCATGCAGATACCACTCTCCTTGTCCCTGAGGATGCCCATCATCACCTCTGCTGTGATGCCCCCTGCCAAGGAGTAGAGGGGGAAGCTGTGGGAGGGGAGAGTGGCTGGCACTGCTGTGGCCCTCCTGGCCCCCAGCCCCCTCCACCACTCACTAACCTTGCCATTGCTGCAGCAGCTCCTGCCCTGCCCGGAAGCGGGCCTTGGCAGCCTCCATTCGCACAGGCTGCTGGGTCAGGGAGAAGACCTGAGCAAAGTCAAAGGCACCCTGCCCATCCCACCAGCCCTTGGCCTGGGCATGAGTCCGCAGCTCCGGGTGTTGGACCGAGATGTCCGTGCCAATGCTCAGCTGGTTGGAGATGTTGCGGGCCCCCTCTGTGGAGGAGATGGGGGAGCGGTTCATTTACCATTGAGTGTCTATTCTATGCCAGGCACTGGGCAAGACGCTGAGAACACGGTGGAAAAGAGAACGACCTACCCTCATGGAGCCTACAGTGTGGTGGGAGAGGCAGACAAAATAGTCGAAGAGATAAATGTAAGCATGCAACTGTGTTGAATGCAATGAAAAAGAAGTACCTGCTTGCATATAAGCAGGAAACCTGACCACCCAGGGAAGTCCAGGAAGGCTTCTGAGAGGAAGCAGCAGGCTGTAGCACAAGGAAGACTTAACCGAGTGAAGGGGAGAAGGGTTCCCAAGTGAGCTCATCTCCCATCTCCCTGAATGTCCCGACAGGCCTGCACCTGGATCGGGCCCCTACCATTTCTCCCACTTCCCAAGGCTGGCAGAAAGGGAATGCCTCACCCTGGATCCTCTGTGCAGCCCAGAGCCTGCCAGCTGTCTCCAGCACCCATGCCTCTGTGCGGTCAGCCAGCAGGAAGGTGTTGTGGTAGGAGAATGGCGCAGGGTCCTCCAGGCAGCTGCCCCCCTGCCCATAGCGCTCCAGTAAGCCTGTGATCACATGCAAGGCCTCCTGGGCAGAGCTGCTCCGTTCCAAAGCCAGCCTGGCAAGAGAGAGGACCAAGGGACAGAAGGGTGACAGAGGGATCAATGGCTGGTGGCAGAAGCTCCAGGGGACAGAAGAGGCCTGGAGAGGTTTGGTGATAGGCCCAAGTCACACAGCAAATCTGCTGGCACTGATCGTATCAAACACAATTACACCAGTGGCTTTCAATGCTCTCGTTCCATGTGCTATGCTTTGAGGGTTCCATGAAAAGGCCTGAAACACTGTTTCAGAGAGAAAAGTGTCCTGAGCCCCCAACCTCTCTCCACCCAGAGCTGCTCCATCCACTATTACTGGTTTTATAAATCGGGACTCTATGTGAGATTTCAACTGAAAATAAATAACCACTGCTCTATTTCTGGGCCAGGAGAGGCCCAAAGGTGGCTGCTGTTGCAGCCTTCCTCACGAGGGCACGAGGGCAAAGTCTGCAGAGAGGAGGAGGCCCCTGTGAACCAGGCTGGGGGAGGAATGGATGGGCCCAGGTCAAAACTCAGCCCCCAGATTTCTGGTGTTTCAGGCAGATGAGGAAGGGCAGGGTCTGCACCTGAGCAGGTCCATGCCCAGCAGGGCTTCCCCCTCCCCAACTGGCTCCTTCGTCCACACAGCCTCGTTGCCAATGCAGACACCATGCTCGTTGGCGCCCATCTCAGCCCCCCATAGCCAAGAAGGACGGCTCAGAATCACAGCGTGCGTCTTCGACACCTGTTCCACTTCAATGTATGTGCACTGGAGGTGAGGGAGGAGAAAGGAAGTGTCCACTCAGAGAGGGGCGGCCCCTCGAGTGCTGGCACTCTGCCAATCACCTTATAGATCCCTTTGAGGAATGTCTCATTCCCATTTTATAGAAGAGGAAACTGAGGTAGACTGAGGCTACATAATGGGCTCAGGTCCAGGTTGGTAGGCTTAAAGCTCATGCTCTTCAACTACTTCTGGCAGCCTCCCAGGTGTGGAGAGCAGGGGAAAAGGTCTTAGAAGAATGCAGAGCTCTGTCACACCTCCCAGCACCCCATAAGGCCTAACCCACCTGGAGCCGGCTCCCAGGAGTGTGAGAGCCTGCGGGGACAAACACCACCTCCTGCACCTCGTCCCGGGGTCGGTCCGAGTTCTTGGCAAAGATCACGGCTGGGATGGCTGAGGCCGGGGGCACAGAGACAAAGCAGTCGCAGGAACATGGAGAGTCAGGGCTCGACGATGCCATCTGGGGAGAGGCGGGCCTCTCCATAAACCTGGCCACAGCTCAGCCCCGGGGAGCCGCCTACCCCCACACGTGTAAACGACGCGCAGGGAAGACACCGCCGTGGCTCCTGGACGCTCGGCGCACACACCATGCACGGGTGTGCGGGAGCAGAGGTGCCCACCCTCTCCCCAGGCTCCAGGCTTGGGAGTCCGCAGGCGGGCACTCCGAGGATCCCGCCCCCACTGGGAGTTCCGGCCCTTGGGCGCAGTCGTGGGACCGTTCCCCTCGCTACCCCACCAAGAGTCCCGCGGCCCTGCGCATGTCCAGATACCCGACCCTCTTCTATCCAACCCTTCTCTCACCCCCAATACTGTATTCCCCTCACTCTCCCTCCAAGACCCCAGCTCGGTCCCGGGTGCCACCTCCTCCGCTTCTGGCCAGGGCCGCCCCATTGGGCGGAGACTCCCAGGCGACCTGGAAGGCCTTCGGCCTCCGGGTCGGAGCCGGAACGGAACGTGCAGCTCTGCCGTTTTCCACCAGGGTGCGCGCCTGCACCACTTCCCGGAGCGGAGCGGCCTTGCGAGCCACACCTGGCTTCCTGTCCTACCCGGGCGCCCATTTTAGGCTTGAGAAAGGTTGCTAACCCCACGTAGTCACTGCGGGGAGCTGGAGCTAGGGGTGGAAAGGATCCCGCGTGAAAAGGGAGACTTTGTCAGAGAAGGGGGACTGCTGGGACATCTGGAGACTAAGGAAGAACCTCAGATACTTGAGTCCCGGTTTGAACCCCAGAGGCGCAATCCCAGGCTGGAGGCACCCAGGGGACTAAGATACAGAATACAAAAGTGGTGGAGGCTAGGTGCAGGGGGCTGGCCCCTGTAATCCCAGCACTCTGGGAGGCTGTGGTGGGAGGATCACTTGAACCCAGGAGTTCAAGACCAGCCTGGGTAACATAGCAAGACCTCGCCTCTACAGAAAATATTTTAAAATTAGCTGGGCGTGGTGTTGCGTGCCTGTAGTCCCAGCTGTTCAGAAGGCTGAGGTGGGAGGATCGCTTGAGCCAGATAGGTCGAGGCTGCGGTGAACCAAGATCACACCACTGCACTCCAGCCGTGGTGACAGAGCAAGACCCTGTCTCTTAAAATAAATAAGGGAACAGGTGCACAAAACCCATCTGATCCCAGAGGGCCTATCTGTCCAATAGTGTTCCAACCCATAGGAAGATAGCTTTAAAAGCAAATTTAGAACTTTCTAGTTCAAAGATTTAGTGCCTTTACCTGTAGTGAAACTGAAACCACAAAGAAGTCGAGGCCAAAGGTGACACACAGTCATATGGGGGTATACTCTCACCCCAAATGTTTTGATTTTCAGTTCATTTTTCTCTACAAACCATCTCTCCATAGCCATCATTAAGACAAATGCATCTTACACCCTTTTGCTGTATGGAGCCCTCCAGGAATGGAGGGAGGGGAGATGCTGCAGGTTATCTGTTTTCAGGGGTTGCACTGAATCTATAGATGGCTTTGAGTAGTATGCAC